GCGTACAGAATATCCAAACTAGTTGAAATACACAATATTTAGAATACCCACTACTTAGTTTTGAAGTTAGAACAGCTGCACTTCAGAAATCACAAACTCGGTGCAAATTTCACCAAAATTACCCGGCTGGGAATTTGCTTTGCAGGAGTTTCTTTCAATGGCAGCTGCCAAACTTGAACTGCACAAACTTGAAAAGTGTCTTGGAGTAGGGGAGGATTCTCCAAGGCAGAAACCCAAGTGGCATTTTGCAAAAATCATCAGATAAGCCGGGCCCTGCCTCTCCACTGTTCTTCCCAGGATTGTTATTGATCCAGTTATTTTTGTTTCCTCACACAGTTTCTCTCCTATTTTGTTAGGCTTTAAACATCAAACTAGAAGCCTTCCTCTTTGGTATACAGTAGACTTTCTGCTGTTTAATACTCAGAAATATGCTTATTACTGCAATGATGGTAAAAAAAAAAAAAAAAAAAAGAGAGAGAGAGAGAAACGTGACCTTAGACTCATACCAAATTTTATTACCTTGAACTTAAAATTTAATAAAAAATGTTTTAAAATGGTAACATCTGAATATCTTCCTGCAGAAGTCACATTTTTACGACCAGAGGAGGCTTTTGCACCTCACTTTGAGCAGAGTAATGCTGACCTCTAGGGGAAACTGGGCAAAGGGACTGCCTTATCCCCCAAATTCATTGTATACTCCTGGGATCAGGCAATTTTCAACTATCTGCTCCTCAGTTTATTTTGCAATTACCCCTTACTCCTTGCTTTTGTGGCAACCCATTCCCAAGCAGTTACTTCTGCACTCTCTTTTTTGGCCTAAACTTTTAGAGTCAGATTAAAAATATTAAAATAGTATTAAAATAGTTACTGTTTTTTTTTTTAAACGTCCATGGATGTGGAATATAAACTTCTTAATATAAACTTCTGATGGAATGTTGATAAAACTTTTAGAGAGGGGCAATAGCAGTAGTTGGGACTGGCAGGTAATTAACTGTATCTCAGCAAACAACACATTAGTGTTGATTACGTTATTGCTTCCCTGCGAAGCACGGGGAACAAGCAGGATGAAGTGGAGCTCCGTGTGCGGTCCCCGCATCATGATCTCCTTGGGATCACGGAGACGTGGTGGGATGGCTCGCACGGCCGTGTGCTCTTTGGGAAGGACAGGCTGGGAAGGGGAGGTGGTGGAGATGCTCTTTATGTGAGAGAGCAGCTGGAATGCATGGAGCTCAACCTGGGAGCGGAGGATGAGCGAGCTGAGAGCTTGTGGGTAAGGGTTGAGGGCAGGCTGCCCAGAGAGGTTGTGGAGTCTCCTTCTCTGGAGATCTTCAAACCCGCTTGGCCGCAGCCCTGTGCCACGTGCTCTAGGTGACCCTGCGTGTGCAGGGGTTGGACTGGATGATCCCTAGAGGTCCCTTCCAACCTTCAGCATTCCATGATTCTATTCCATGATTCTAAAATAATTTTGCATTGAAGCCAGTGACATTTAGAGGACTTTATACCTTTAAAATTGTCATAATTTCTTTGTTTGTTGTCACTGTTTTTAGCAAAATTATGGATATCTAACAGCATAGATATGAATCTCCCATCTCTCCCCTAAACTAGTGATGATTTTGTCTAGTGTCAAGGGACTTTTTTGGAGATGATTCATGGAGTACTTACCAGTAGGACTCCAAAATGGGTAAGATGGTTACAAAAACAGATTGTGTAATTCATATCTGTATATTCCATTTCACACCCTGATGTATTCCAACCACCCAGTCCATCTGTGTAATACAGAAAAAGGGATTTTTAAGCAGAGTTAGTCATGCTCAGTCATTTATAGTTCTGCGGCATGCAGAAAGTGTGAATACGAGCTCAAGTTAGTACAGATTGCAGGGTCATTTAGCAGCAGACAAGTGAGATTTCACATAGGAACACATATTTCTTGGTTGCCTGAGAACCTCAGAACTTGGATAAAAGCCCTCAGGGAAACAAAGAAATATTTAAAGTAGTTTACATGCCTGCACACAGAAGGCAAGAAGGTGAGCAGAAGTGTGCTTGGCTGGATTACTGTCAGGATGTGGAAACGGCACAGAGGACAAGAAATGTTCACAAGGCGTAGGACAGGCATTTCTACTTTTCATCTTGGAAAAGTGACTCTGCCACATGCATGTTGATGCACCATCACACATAACTCCAGACAAGCACTTCCTAGTAATAATGCTGATTGCTGAGTATGGATACCAACCAAAATAAGCAAGGTAGAACAGCACGGTCTGAGTAGGAGAGACTCAAAGGTTGAAACTGTATGTTGAAGAGCCAAAGCCTCTGTGAAGCTGAAGACAGAGCAAGTAAATAACACTTACTGTTCTTCAGCAAGTCCCAAAAGACACAGTGCACTGTTCTATAACCCTGAAAGCAGAGAAAAAGGAGACAGTGACATCTATGCAGCATGGCTCTACATCGTTCGCACTTCAGATCTAATCGGGATCTATAACTAAGGCCATTGGATTTGACTTGCTCTGCATTGCTTGAGAAGAGCCCACGGAGGAGCAGGGGGAGCCTGGCCTCTGCCCTGCTTGCTTGGCGGTGCCCGAGGGGCTGCAGGTCCCTGAAGATGGAGCAGGGCAGCAGCAGTTGGACACTTGGTCTTCGAGGACCTACTGGAATACCAGTGATCTCAGCCACAGCTCCGAAAATTTGCAGAGGGTCCCAATTTTTGCCTTCCTAAGGGATATCCTGGGCAGTAGTGTTTTTCTATTTTTACCAGTATTTCTATACTCCACTTATTACCTGTTAATGCAGAAAACCTGACAAACTATCCAGCTTTGATTGATTCCTGTATCTGATCTCACTGGCTTCATGTAGCATCTGAGAAGTCATAGCTAATTACTGTGTAACTCAAAAATTATCACTGGGACTTAGGGTAACAATCTGAGATTTCACATAATTAAAAAAAAATCTCAACATAACCTTTAATTTGGAATTTCAGTATTTCTGTGAACTGCCATTCTGCAACTAAGAGGGGAAGAAATGGAGGAGAAAATAAAGCTGCCTGTATGTTTCACACAACAGAATAGATTTAGTGGGTATTCATTGCAATGTTTGCTATTGAAGGCATTCTAGTTTATTACTCATATTGCCACAGCAAAGTTTCCCAAGGCACAGATTCATTTTATTTTATTATTTAATGAAGTCTAAGAAGACAGAGTTTACAGGAAAGGACCATAACAGATATGCTGTTAGGATTTGTGATCTGTAGACAGGCAAATATAATTAGGCAGAAAGCCAAAGACACAGGTTATAAAGATATCTCAATTAAATATTTAATTAATATCTTTTAAAAGGTTGAGGAATAAATCTGAGAAGTGCCAGATGGTCTGGTGGAGTAAGAATGACGGAAGCGAGGACTATCTAGACAAAATTTTGGTGGATGTATCATTCGCTAGCATGGAGTGGAAAGAGCATATTGCTATGAAAGCAGAAATGTCAAGCTCTCATCATCTTGAGATCTAATCAAATTCACCTTATTAAATAATTTTGTTCTGCCCTAGATTTACAGTGTTTCTGTGTGGAGACTGTCATAAACATTTGCAACACAAAAATGTAAAGGCAGAACCCAGTCAACAAACTGAACCCATTTAAAAATAATCTAAGATAGATTTTAGTCCTGAAACACTGCTTTGAAACATATTAAATACAATTTTGAAAGCATTTATGTAATATTTTGATTTTTTTTCTGAAATTTACTCCCGTTAGAGCAATTGTAAATCATTGCAGTCAAGCGCCAAGTGCCATTTTCAGCACATAAACTATTCCTAGAAAAAACTGCCCAGATCAAACAAGGAAACAGTGGAAGTGCCCGTTGCTCCTAAGCCTGGCTTCAGAGTGGAGACACAAACTTTACTAACTTGTGGGAATTAAACAATCCACAAAGATCTCTGTGGCCTGCCAATCTTTCGGTTGGTGTATGTTAGAGAGGTCAGTCAGCAAGATGCCTTAAGCTTATCTGTCCTATTGCCAGTTTATTTTAAGGCCATGTGAAATAGCTTCTATTTCAAAAAGTCCCTGATTAAATTAACATATCCTACCGTATTTTGGCCTATGTGCTCAAGAATAATGTTGACAGGCTCACTGAGGTTCTCAATGGATGCATTTTCAATACTGGCACTCACAACATAAGTGTTCAACTTCTTCATTTTTAAACTATCATCCTGTAATGGAAAAAATACACACATGCAAAAGATTCCAAGACATTTAAGTTACCAGTAATTGAGCTCTTTCTTGTTTCATTTCTAAAATTGTATTTCTCAGAAATGGCAATCAGCTAAACACCATGGGATGCCTTGTGTAATTTAGCTATTTGCTACCTCATTAGAAAGTGTAGTTAGTAAATTCAGGGAGACTCTTCATATTAGCTAAAGCAGAACTCACAGGTGTCTCAGCTTGTGGAAGCTGTATAACCATTTCAGCACATCAGATATGCAGCTGTATGTCATTTAGCTCACAAGACAGGAGATGCAATCAAGAATTGTGTGAAAAAAATCATTGCTCAACATACCATATGTTCCTCCTACCATGAAGGAGAAATGCCTCCCTTCGTAAATTACATTGATCCACACAAGAGTAAGAGGCCCTAGCAAATCCTGGAACAGACCTAAATGCTCATCAGTGTTGCTATTATTTTAATAGAGCAGTTTGTCTTGCAATTTGTTTCATGATATTTAACATGTAATATGCATGTTCCTGAAGCAGGAGCTTACTAACTGGGGAAGATTAGTGTGTGCTATTTTCCTACAGAAAAGTAGTGGTGAAGCACCATCAACTTCAGAAAATGAGAACAAGTCTTAGGTCTACAGACACCTCCCAGAGCATCACTACTATAGAGATTTTGTTGCTTGAGTACATTTTCCCCACAGATTTCTTAGTCCTCTATCAGTGTGATATTGAACATGTCCAGAACAGACTATGCTATTGGGGTCTTCCTTTGTACACATTAAGAATAACTGAACCAATCACTGTTATCTTAGCATTTGATAAGAAGCATAGTTACCGTAAAGGGTGAAGTTGTGCCAAAAAAATTAAACTGGATCTTTGAATTCTTTTCTGGATCAGAGTACTCCATCCCTAAGTATTTCTTCAGTGATTTTGGCAAAAACACAGAGGCCAAGGCTGTTGTGAAAGGGCGTTCTTGAATATTGATCTTGAGGAAAGAGACGACAGGCTCAGGTTAAGTGTTTCTCAGATTAACTACACGGCTGCAGCAGACACCATCTGTCTTGCTGCACTTTGCTCTCACCTTGAGGTTCAGGCCCCTTTCATATGAAGTAACGCCGAAGGCCAGTCCTTCAAACACGCTGGGATCCGGACGCACCACCACCAGAGCCAGGGAACTGGTGACGACCGACGCGTTTCTTTCTGTGTAAGACATCTTATAGCCTATCTGCTCAGTTGTCTTCAGGAAACTTCACCAAGAGTAACAGCAAGGAAAAAAAAAGTGTTTTATATACATATATTTGTATATATATGTACAATCTCTTGAAATGTACTCCTAGCTTCATAATGTACAATCAGTAGAAAATCAGCTGAAATTTTCTGGCCTAATATAGGATCACAAAGAAAATCCACTAAACCAGAATGGGCCCAGTCTGGGCTAGATAGCTTTCTGTTTGGCATAGGGTTAGGCGATAACAAGTGATTCAGTTAGTACATCTCAATAAGTTAAAACTTCATCTGGTGGAGAGCCAGTCCTGGTCTTTTGCATGTCAAAGTCAGACAGACTGAATCATGTGAGGCACTTGAGGGGCAACATGAGGTGGTTCTTGGAAGGCTTGAGTCAATATTCACATATCAACACCAGCTTCCTTCTGAAAAGCAGTAAGTTGCAGAACATACTGATTTGATTACTTGGAATCATCTGATCAGGAGGGCATTCTATAAAGATTGCTCAGGGCTTTGCCCCATCAATCTCTGACTATGTCCAAGGACAGATTTCACAGCCTTTCTGGGCACTTCTCTCAGTATTTTTTTCCTGAGTAGAGGCTGGAACTCAAAAGCAGCAGCAAATTAATCCTTATGGTATTAAGAGTAAGAGACAGATTCACTTTGTTTGGCAGCCCTCAAGTCTATTCAGTGCTATGCAAGAAGGGAAAATACTCTGTGGAAAGAAAATGTGCAAGAGACAGCTGGTCCTGACAGTCTAAAGGAGATCCTTCCAGTCCTTCCTTGTCTAGTGTTAGCCCACGGTGGTGGGTTAACCCCTGTTGTTGTCAGATCCAGATGGCCAGGGACCCCCCAGGATCCTTCCAGCCACAGTTGCCCCAGAGCTGTGAAGTCTCACGTTCAACTTTCCCAAATCATTTGGGAATCTAAAGTTTGAGGCCTGAGAGAAGAAGGGTTATAGATGCTGACAGGCCACCGTGCTCATGCTAACGGTGTCTGGCACCATCATGGCACTTGCTCATCTTGTTGCCCTTTTTTTTTTAAAAAAAAAAAAAAAAAAAAAAGAAAGTCTGGTTTGTGAAAAAATTAAAATTCTCACGATTGACTCTTCTGTTCAGAAAAAATTGAAAGTAGTTTTACTGCAACTTGTAGGTAACAACTGCACCTCCATTAAGGATCAGGAATCAAGAGCCTGTATTTGCACTGGAATATCATCCATAAAAAAACCTTTAATTACTGCATGGTGCCATTTTAGATGAGGAAGCCACTTCTGTACTTACCTATTAGTCATTTTTCTAAAGCTCTGATTATCATCTGTTTCTTGCAGCAAAATATAGTTGAGTACACTCAACATATCCTCTGCAAGTGTCACACTTATATCTGCAACACTTGCTATCTCAGAAATTTTATTTTCAATTATTTTGATTTCTTCTATATCTAGCTTTGCATTTGGCAAAAGATATAAAATATGCCGTACAACATCTTCTGCATTCTCTGAAAAAAGCAAAAAAGCAAAAAAATAACAAAAGAACATGATTTATGTGACATAGCTACACATGTCTAGCTATACAGCTACAGCGCTCTGTTAGAGCGATGAGATGGAGTTTGCTTCTCTTTCTACAAGGTCATAATAGTTTTTATCTATTACAAAAGTATTACTAAAGGGGAGAAAAGAAAAAAAACAGTAAGCAAACCCTCAACAAGTCAATGACAATTGCAAAAAAAAAATCAAAGCAAAATTTGGATATCTCCATTTGTGTTTTAAAGGACGAAAATAACAGTTTCAACAAGACTGTTAACACCTACCTTTGTGTTATAAAGATGATCTGTGAATCCTTACTCGGTTTTAACTTTGATCATTTTCAGAGGCACTTGTATGAACACTTCAGTGTTCAAAATTACACAAGCCCCTTTCCCCCAGCCCTTCCCCAAAATGTTGTTTAACTGGTATATGAGCAAAAGCAATTTATGAATATTATATTGAAAGTTTGGTACTTGCCATTCACCATCTCAAGATCCTTCTATAAGTTTTTCACACACCAGAGTTTTACACATTGGGAGTCAAAGAAACTGTATGTAAATGCAGATATCATTTAATCATTTATAATTAATGCCATTGCTGCATAGGTAGATCAAGAGCAATATGGATTTCATTTACCATTCAAACAACTAGCATAGTTTTTAAAAAAGATATACCCAGGTATTAACTGACATCTTACAAGTTGCATGCATCAGAGCATGAACTAAATTACATATACTAATTTGTGCTTCATTGTACAAGATCTACAGACCAAGAATTATTTTGATTTGGTAACAGACAAACCACAGGCAAAAAAAAGTCACATTATTCATCAGTTATTCATTTAGTTCTAAATCTGAGTGTAGGATTTAAAACACTAAGTTTTTAAAATGTTAGAGAATTCTGAATTGTAAAATTCACTTATACTGAAAACATTTCAGATGACCAAATGAGTAGGACACAGATGCCCATTATCTGAGCATAACTAATTTTACTTTGATTCACATTCACGGTATTGCTGAAGTTTCTGGTGCCTTACCATCTGTTATAATGACATCCTGAAGATCTAAAATATTATTTGGAAGTTCTTCCAGTAATTCACATTCAGACAGGTTTGGCTTTTTCCAAAAAGTTTGTTCAAGCTCTATATCAATTGCACTGAAAAAGTGAAAGCATAGGTACTTTGTTACATTAACATATCTAAAATATCTTTAAAAAAAATCTATTAATTGTTGTTCTCTGCATTTCCCATGTAAATAGCTAAAAATCCAGCTAGTTAGCCCTATTTTGAATATTGACTTGCAAGTCAGATCTGACATAACAGACTCTACAGTGCATTTGCTTCCCCTCCCTTCCTAAATAACTGGGCTTGCTCTGTTGCAGGTGATGGGAATGATGCAATATTCCCTTTCCTGCAGCCCATGCAGGGACCAAAAGGAGATGATCTCTCAACTCACCAGCTCCTTGTAGCAGATTGCAGAGGGTTTTTGCTGCAGCTGACCTCAGCTTGGGTAGCTGGATTTGTCAGTGGCCATGAATAATTCCCCTTGTATGCTGTTTGTGAGAAGCTTTCTGGGCAATCCGTCAGAGCTGAGGGCAAGATACACAAAACAAGCAAAAGTTTTTTAAAGATTTAATAGGCAAAAATGGAGACTTTCCTGAAATCAGGGAGCCAGCTCTGTTCTGAATATCCCTTCCAGCTGAGACTGAGCTGTAATCTGTACCTCTTCTGCAGGCTAGATAGGAATATCTCACAAATTCACTGGCTGGAAGAAAATATTTTGCTTAGCTTCTTTGCCTGCTATTCTAAGACCCGTTTGATGAGGCCAGCTTTCAGGAAAAATGCTGTTTTGCAGCAACACAAACTGTACTTAATGAGTGCAGATCTGGTTAGCTTCTCTAATCTATCTGAACATCCTCTCAGACTGCCCTTCATTATCCAGCCAAGGTCTTTTCCCCCAGGCTTGGAGTTTTGTTCTCTGGAGCTGATCTTCTCCAAATCTTTGGCATCAGGAGTGCTTCTGAATTTCAGGTCTGTCCTCTTACCTCTGGCTTTTACTTTCGTATTTTAAGGAGTGATAAGGCAGGTATCCAAACCAATGAGGAGATCATTTAGAATCTGAGGCTTGATTGGGTTAAGCAAATGCCTGCCCCAGGTTTGGCGTGTTTGTGCCACGGGAGCGCTTGGTGGCCCACGACTCTCTCAAAGCCAAGCATCTGGGGAAGGGGCTCATGGATCAGCCTGACCTTTGAGCATTGCAAAGATGCTCACGCCTATCTGGGCTGGATCCAAGTTTAAGCCACTGCCATTTGTGTGGAACTCAAGTTCTAGGCCTTCATGGTGTTGCATGACATTTCATAGCTTGTGCACCAGGTAAGGTCAGCCTAGACACTTGTAGGGGTGTTTTCTAGCCCTTATCTCTCCTCAAAGTTTGAATTTGATAAAATAATAGCAGCCAGGGTTACAAAGCAGGTAATTTCCAAAGATATTTTAAGCAAGTATTACCTATTGGCCTGACAGCCACATTTTCAGGTTTCACATATAATGTTAACAGTCCTTCTTCATAAGTGTCATTCAACAGCTGTTTTATCTTCAGACTCTGCTGTTCTTGTGTTTCAAGTGATGTGGCTTTTATAATGGCCTTACAGACATAGCTAGAAGTATAATACACACAAACAAAACCACAGCGTAAGGAACATTTTGAATGACTAAAGGATTAAGGCATAATTTAAGTATGTATTTTTTCATCCTTAGCACGATCCTATGGCAAATGTCACTTCTTACATGCACCAGCACCTTACTACTGGAAATGCTTAATGGGAAAACAGCTGTAAAAGTCTATTTGCAGTTTCATGGTAAATGCTTCAAAAGGTTTCCTAACCTTTCTTGGTAGAGGAATACCTTTGTCTCAAATAAGCCTTTTTTCAACCACATTTTGAATTTGTAGTGAACTATTCATAAAATCATGAGGTACTTAGAGTACCTCAGAGAAAAGTGGCAGGCTCCAGGCTCTCAGTTTAATCTCTGTTTTCCAATCTGCCATTTAGTGTCTCCACTGGCTTCCTGGGTTTTTTTTTTTTTTTTTTCTCCTCAGAAGAGCTAATCTCCTGGACAGATAGATTTGATTTAAGAAGGTTTGGAAAAGCTGTATCTCTGAGTGGCTGCAGACATGGCAGACAGAACATATAAAAACCCTCTCTGTTGCAGGTAGGTCACCGTAATGGACCTCTAATTTAACTGAGGGTTGACATAGGAAGCTTTCTCGGAACCACTGGAAACACCCCAGTCCTGTACCCCTCGTGTTTTCATACAGTTGTTCCCCGCTCAGTATGGCTTTGGGCTGAAGCATTAGCACCCCTTGAAGGCGATGGGCGCCCGCGTCCCCTTCCTTCCCTGGCTCAGGATTGCACGGTCAGAGTCCAGGGATTTCCTTGGGAAGCGCGGGGTTTGGCCTGGCAGGCTGCCTGCCCAGCAACGCTCCTGTGCTGGCCCCAGGGAAGGACGTTCCTCACTGCCTGCTCCTGCAGCGCGGCACAAGGCCTCCCGGCCGGTCACGGCAGCCCTTGGAGGCTCCCAGGAGATGGGGCACGGATGGGAAACCTCAGACATTCAAATACGTTTTGCTGAGTGAGGCCTTAATGTGGGTCTGTTTCCACAGGTGCTTTTCTGTTAAAGGTCCCCAAACTACCCTAAAACAGAAACAATCAAGGCTGGCTGTAATCCCTCCTCAGCTGCTTTATGTGCAGGCTGCTAGAGAGAGGGATTTTCTGCTGAATTCAATCTAAACCATGAAAAAACAGTTCATGAACATGGATCCTACCTTTGTGACTGCTGCGTATTCTTCATCATCGGTTCACATTATAGGACACAAAAAGTTAGAAACTAGTTAGAATCAAATGTCTCAAAGGTAAGTGGTTTTAAGGAGAGCAACAATTGGAGCTCAATATGCTATTGAGCAAAACACAGTTTATTGCTTTAAATGGTATTAGGACTTGACTACCTAGAGTAACCTTTGTTTTATGGTACTTCCAGAGGCAAATTAAGCCAAGATAAAGCAGTATATTGATACTGAGTCAGGCAGACAGCAGGGGAGGGCCAACGTTGCTCAGTGAGTATGTTCACCAGCATGTTCTTCCCAAGGGGACTTCTTGCCAATCGTGCCTGGCACATTGACATTCCTCCATCTCACGTGGAACATTCCAGCCTATTGAGACACAGTGACTCTCCAGCCAGTTACTTGCACGAGGCTGGACTGAAGGTCAAGATTTCACAATGTCTACAGAGCAGAGCAACATTTAGCCCCCCTCGTGGCATGGAGCAGATTAAGGGATGGAAGCACAGCCAGGCAGACAGAACGGACCTCCAGCCTCCCACACAGCCGAGTGCTCCAACCAAAAAATACCAGCTACAAGTAGGATTTTGCTGCTCTCTTCCCTCCTTTCTTTACTCAAGTATCTTAAAAATAACCACTTTTCAGTCAGGTAGAATATGGCACATCTAATGAAAAATCCGTTTTGTTTTTCTATCTTAAGGAGAAACCCTCCCACCACCACCTCGGAATATTGTTGTTCAATCTGACAGACACCAAGGGCCAGCCGAGGGACTGCTGTGTGGAGGGACACCTCTCCTTGTGTGGGCACGGGCCTTCCAATTTAGGTACCAAACAGAAATCAGCAGCTGCAGTTTAGTTTGTGAAGCCCTTGGAGCTGAGGGCCCTCTGCCAGCCCTGCTCTTTGGCATGGCAATAACAGAGCAACGCTGGACAGCGAGGCTGCCCCATTCCCCGGCCTTCTGCCTGTGTCTCCAGGCTGTGGATCTGGAGAACGTGATTACAGACTTCCAGCTCCCCAACAACTCCTCTGCAGGGACACAGAGCCACAGAGCCCCTGCTTGCAAATGAAAGCCAAAGCCAGGTGCATAATATCCAGAGGACTCTCTCCAGACACTTTGCCTCTATTTATGAGTTAATTTCATAAGAGAACCAGCCTTTCTCCACAAATTACCAGAACCGCCAGTCGGTTTGGCTACAAGCTTGGTTTCATTCCTTGATCATAAAATGACTCAAAACTGCACCATCCTGGCGTTCCTGTCCTAGCAGCATGCAACCACTACACCCTCTATTCAAAGATATGAAAAAAGTTTAAAAAATAAAAAATTATAAATTACATACAAGAGCCCTCTTACGCCTAGTCCTTGGTGCAGAATCAGCCCTGCAAGAAAAACAGAATAGGCCATAATGGGGCAACAGAGATGTCATCTTGAATTCAGCACATAAATATTTACATAAATCCCCAAAACCAGGTGCTGTAACAGATCCGTGGATCCATGACAGCGAGGTGACAACCCGCATCTTCCTCCCCTTGCCACAGGACCGTGGTATCTCTGACAAAGTCCAGCAGAGTCGGGACGGATGCAAAGTAGCATATTCCATCTCTAAGTGCACTCCATCTCTCTACAACATCTTACATGAAAGGATCAATCAATCATTCAAAATAAAAAACTGCATCAGGGTATGAATTGTCTGCATGACGTTTTATTTCTTCAGGTGAGCTACACTTCCTCACACTTAAAAAAACCTGTCTCATCTGTTAACTTCTTGGATATATTTCATCATTATAATTTCTATATGGGGGCTGAAGATTCAGTGAATACATTTTTAGCTGATACTTATTCCCCATTCTACTCCTTCTCTTAAAGTCTTCAGAATCTGATTCACTTCATGGAAATAGTACAATATTTTATTGCATTGTTGTCATTGGTAAAGCAATTGGTAACTAGGGAAGTCAGAGAAGAGAGTAGGAAGTAAAAATAGGCAAAAAGTACAGCTGTCTAAAAGACTGTAAGAGTGACATTTTTATCAGTTTAATAATTGCTAAATATCTCTCTCAGATCAGATACCTTGGTAAGTGAGTTTGGCTGAAAGGTTCAATATAAGAGTTTTGTGCAAAACACCATTGCTTTGGGAAAGGAATCTAGGACTATAATATCCATTCCTTAGTTACTGTTATGAGAAGAGCCAGTGTTCACTGACTTAGCTAAACCACAGGGATCACTGATCTCCACTCTGAGTGCACTAACTTCCTTTGCATTCCCAAGCAAGGGTTGAAATAGGTGTTGAGCAGTATTAGGGTGAACGCTGCAGGCACCATTGCCCTGCCCTACTCTCCCCCTCCTGCAAGCAGGAGCTGATTAACTTTCTGAATTATCAGGCTGGCACATCAGAACACATTCACCCACGTGATGCTCTTCACACATCCACAGAAGTGGTTTCACCTCCATCAGCCCGAACTTTTCTGCATAAACCAAACTCTAGGGGCAGAGATGAGCTCACAGTCTGGCATCAGGTACTTGCCTTATATCAGTCAGGTTATATGTTTTCCAAGTGAATTGAACCCAAGAGATGCTCCAAATGATCACAGTTGTACAGATCTGGGGGGTTGACTTGCACCATTGCCACTGGACTGGTCATTTGCAAAATGAGGATATAGAACCTGACTGCAACTTCTGTGTTCAGGTAATAGCACAGTAGAGCCAGAGGCTTACCTGACTTTAAAATCTGTCACAACAAATTCATCTCCTGAAAATATGATGCTAAACTGGAAAGAAAATAGTAACAGTTTTATTAACTTGGTGTTAATATGTTAACAAAAGCTGCTTATAAACCTGAAATTGTGATCAAAATTCTAAAACCCAATGAAAAAGGCTAGAAAGTGTAGACTTCTACAAATATTTCTCCTTCTTTATGAATTAATTTTATCTTCATGAAAGTGTGCTGGATAACATAACTATGAAATGCCATGGTATTATTATATGGTCACCTATTGCTGTGTTGTCCTATAAGCCTGCATTTTAGGCCAGCTGTCCTCATCATCCGATCCTTTTCAGAAATAAATACAGATAAGAAAAGAAACTCACCCAGCTTTTAAGAAGGCTCTTTGCATCATAGTAATCAGGAGCTCTCTCGGTTTCGTAGAAAAGAGTAAAGTTCATGTCGACGCTATAGAAGCTAACTGTAGTAAGAGAACATACAGGAGATGCATCCCGTGGCTTGCAGAGGAGATTACTTGTGCCCCTTCCCATCTGCTCTCCCCTCAGGCTGGCCACAGTTGTGTTTCCCATTCCCATAGCCACTTGGGGCTCTTTGGACAACCCCACACTTCCAATGGCCCAAGAACATGGTCAAGTCATCGCAGCTTAACAAGCCAAGGTGTATCAGCTAAACTATGGTCATAGCTGTGGGTGCAGTTGGTAGGTGCAAGGTGGCCTCTCCTGTGTGCTAGGGATGCATAGGGACAGCCAGGAGGGCTGCTGGCACACGAGAGCTTGCCAGGCAGTGGTAGCTTAAGCATGGGGTGAGCCTTAAACTTGCCTGGGCATCAACCAGCATCAGCAACGATCATGTCAGTACTTAGAGCAGTCTCCTCCAGAACGGCACTTACGTGGAACGGTGACGTTGGCGTTGCTCGTCGGAGATGACGGCGGCAGCGTCAGAGCCGTTGTGGACAAGGCCTCGCTTGAACCCGCTGGAAGGAATATTAAAAGGACTGAAAATCAACAGGGGCAAAATGTGTGAACAAGATATAGTTGACGTGAGCAAGACAGCCCTTCAGCAAAGGTCACTGCAATGAGGAACAGCTCCTGTTCCAAGGACTTCTGCAGAGTGAGGGCAAGTTTGGGAATAGATCTGTGCATGGGGTTTATGGATTTCTCCAGCGGTAACTGGTGCCTAGCAAGGGAAAACTGGGATTTGCAGAATTTGGATCACAGTAAAGATCACAGACAACATTGTCTTTTCATGTTGCTTATTGTAAAGAGCTGTTATCTGCTCCCTTCTTGCTTGTACAATCTGTGCCAGTATTCCAGAAAAAACACTTGTCAGACACATAATGTTAATGTGTTAACAGGCAGCAAAGGCTGTAAAATGCACATTGATATTCATGGTCTTCGGTTTAACGATAACCTCACATAAGGACGTCCCATTATGTAGGCCCAGCCATCCCTCCTGTCATTTTCCAAGGAAAGAGTTCTGAGAATTAGTTCTTAGCTAATTTTCCTTGAAATGAATCACCTTGTCAAGCCAGATATATTTTCGCATTTCACATGCAATCTGCCACGTCATCAGGCAGCCGGGGACAAAATGGTGATGCCTGTGCCCAAGTACCACAGAAAACTGCAGTGAACCGAATCGCTGTGCAACACCACAGGCCTCGGCCACGGGAGAGGAGCACGATCACAACACTCTGCTCTGGACGTGCAGGCTCCTTATCATGCTGGTAATCTGTGTTTCCTCATTCGCATGAATGGCAGAGACTTGGCAATCTAGCTCTGCCTAAAGAAATAAATTTTACATAGAAAATTGTGTGTGGAAAATGCATTTTTCACATACAAGCCAAATGTCTGTGAATAGGAGTGTGGTCAGAAATAAGTAGGGTATTGCCATACTTCATAAAACCTGTTTTTCTCTACTTTAGTTCAAGGTAATAGGAATCACCCATGCTCAAAACATAATTGGTCATCTCTGACCCATTCAAATCAATGGCAGAACATCTATAGGCAAGGACAGAAACAGGATCTGTTAACAATTTGAAGCAATAGCCTCCTATTTTTATCCTAAATTGCTTCAAATTACTTTGTGAAGCAGAAAGGACACCTGAAGTCAAAAGACCCTTCTGAACAGGCACATTATGACACACAATCTTTCTGCTTCCTGGATGAACAGGCAATTTTACCAACCACGTTAAGTCATGGGCTGTGCACTCAGAGTAACGCTGAGCTGGAGCTATTTCTGAGTTCTTACTTTGTGAATTAGAAAGCTCTCGAACTCCATTGCCAGGTTGGGTCTCCAAGCTTGGGTGCTGCAGACCAAGCTCAGGCCTTTCAGTCTGCTCCCTAAACCTCCTTGTGCTCCTCTTTACTGGGGCCTTTTACTTCGGAGGTAGCCCTGAGCTGTTGCAGGTAAGAGGACTAATTCACCCCGGCTCACTTTTCCACTAAAACGGAGCAGCTCCGGGAACAAGCTGTCACGTTGCTGTTTCCAACCAGCTGCCTGCAGCAGGCCAGAAACCTGACCTGCCACGGTGGTTATTTACTGATTCTTTATTTGGAGCGAGCCGCAGGCTTGAATCATCCAGCTGCAAGGCAGACCCAGACACACAGTACACAAGCCTCCCCCGATGACCACTAACACTGTCTGACACACGGATATAACATGCAGAAGCCAGGAAGTCAGAAATGGCCACCAAATTAAAAACAAAGCCTCAAAGATAGAGGACAGCAGTCCCACCACACAGCACGATAGATGAAGCTATTGGGCTGTGCTTCTTCCTCCAGCACCCGCAAGAGCCAAACCCTTCTTCACAACACGTCTCTCCCCCAGCACCAGGGGAACAGGACATTGCTGCAGCCCAACCTTTAGGGGGGACCCATACATTTTTCTGCATTACCAGCAGCTGATAATACAAGTACTCCTTGGTTTCAGGCTGATAGAAACTGTGGGAAAAAAATGAGTGTTTCATTGTTAAACTTCTTCAAAACCTCATAGGGATAAGCCAAATTCTGCTGTTACATTCAGCTGTGTAATTCCAGAGTAATTCCACAGGTTTCACTAATAATAATCTTATTTCATAAGATCTTAATGGATCTTATGTGGAATTTTACCTTGAGTCTGTAATAGGGACCACAGATAGTGGTAATCATCCCTTTCACAATCTTCAAAATAGCCAATATTTTAAAAGTTCAGTAGTAAAAGTTCACTGTAAGACCCTTCTCTAAACAGGGATGGGTTGATCCAAGAGTCTAGCACTTATTTCACAAGTTGCCAGTGGTTTCTGCAGCTCCCTGCATCCATATGGATTTCCTACACCCATCGAGGGATGCAGGGTCAAACAGGAGATGGGCAGCAGCAGGCAGCCATAGGCCAAACCATTTGTAAATCAAGGGTTTAACCTGCTCTCTTCATTGTCCGTGCTGCAGATTTTCTCCAAACAGGAGCCTGCAGAGCACTGGGTGATTATGGACTCTGGTTGGTCCTTGTTAACAGTGCAGTGTTTCAAAAAGTACTGCCTTGGGGGTGATGCATGATACCACCCAGTGTGAATCAGGAAAATCTGCTAGAAAAAATATTACAGAAATGGACAACAAAAACTAACCCTATTCTAATTAGGAATGTAACTCACAATGCAGGTTTTTATCTCCTGACAAATCAAGCATAATTACAGCTTCTAGTCTCTTGCTTTCTCTTTCTCATTATCACCTGAAGGGGAAAAAAGAAAAAAAAATCTGTTTATTCCCACATGTCAAGGATCATTACTAGCAAGCAGGTGTGGGACTAGCCACCTGCATCCTGTAACTTCATTTGCTTTAATTAACATGCATGTATTTCCATTCAAGAAATGTGGGCTAAAGAGTGATGACAGACAAGATCTGAAGCTAGAAAAACACCATACCACTGACATTCTAAAAGGCCCGATCGTGGGGTTTGATATGATAATTTAATACATGGTTTATTTGGCATTCTGCAAGTATGCACGATTTCCAACAAGAACAGGAGAAATGAGACCAACTAATAGCAGAATTGTAATAAATACACTTCATGTCTTTAATAGTCATCTCCAGATATTTTATGTTTCCTCTCCCAGATTGTTCAAAATTAAGAAGAAAATCAGAAATCTGTGTGGGCAAGATGAGAGGAGGAGAAGATGAAACTGTGACTCACTTGGAGGATAAGAACAAACACTTTCACACTTTTAGCAAAAGCCCAGCTAAACTGGAAAGGTAAGAGATCGCCTTCAAGAACTCCAACGAAAAAGCAAAACAGTAACGTTACATGGCCTGTCAAGCACAGCCAATACAATTGCTGTCATAATGACTCATAAAAAGTCAACACACCTTTTTAAAGCCGCTTCCTGCTATATTCCTATGGAAAGTCTCCCTCATGGTACGTAAATGAGCCCTGGCTTTTCAAAACCAGCACCCGATTTCCAGAACACACAGCGCTGCACAGCCTCCCTGCACAGTCCCGTGAACTCCCTGCTGTTAGGGGAAACAAGCTCTGCAAACTGAAGCAGTGCCCACATGTGTGAACAACACATATAAACTAGAAAAATAATTTAAAAAACCCCACAACAACTTGAAGCCAGTAATAGGGCATAAGTGACAGCTTCAGTTACATCATTAGCATTAAAATAGCACTGCAACACAACATTTCTTTGTGTAGCAATACCCCTGCAGTTATTTTCATGCCCATGCTTCAGACCTTGGCACCCAGTGTCTCAGGGCACATGCACAATGAACGTAAAGGCAGGATGCCAGGACAGCCTCCCGTTTGAGCACCGCTCACGGGTTTGTGCCACTCACTCCTATCTGCGTTTGCTGGTCTCTGTGTGCAATATCCAGCTCATAAATGTCATTTAATTAAAGTAGGCAGGACATCTCTAGTGGAAGTATCTTGGCAAGACCTTTCCAACACGTGACAGGTTCTCAAACATGATTCAGTTTTATGAGTACACATAACCAGAACTTCGCAACCCTCACCCTGCTCACAATCCTTTGGAAAGTTGGAGTCCGCAACCCTTGTCCCAGCGTGGAACGGCCCATCCGGAGTCTGCAGGACCAGGGGCACAGTCTGGCATCATGTGCAGATGCAGCCCCTCACTTCTGAGGCAGGCTGCTCCCTCCCCTTGCCAATAACCTTGAATATTTGGGCCAACATTTTCTGGACTGAATGTCCAATTCAGGCTGTATTGGAGAATTGCTAACTAGAACAAGTCACCTCTTCTGAGGATCATTTTAGAGGGGGAAAAATGCTCTGTCCACACTGAAAGTTTCTCTAATGTCCTTTATTTTTTAAAACAGATCTGGCCTTTGCAGACCTCTGAAGAGATGCCTTAGAGAAGACAGGGGCGGCAGCACACCATCAGCCTATGGAGGAACAGCAAAGGCTCATTCCCCATCATTGGGAAGCCCCTAAACACCACAGTGTGACATTAACGCTAAGTAAACGACGATGTTGGTGCCCTGAGCAGAGTGCGAGTGCTGCACAGCGTGCACGGGCTGAGCAGGCAGCGCCGGGCCCTGCCAGCCTCATCCACCAGCCCCGACCCAGGCAGGGATTACTCTCATTTAACTAACAGCAGTTAAATGCCGTTCAACACCTTGGAAAAGGAGCTTGGCTCCCTCAGTGCCAGGCCACCAGGGCAGGGGGTAGCACAGCCCCAACAGCTGCCTCGAGAAGACCCAACAGGGCCAGACGCAGCAACGCGGGTGCATGGGGACAGCCCTGAGCCCCGGGGCCATGGGACAGCTCCCGACCGAGCAGCGGAGCATCCCCCGCTTCCAACCCGCACTTCCCGGGGGACGGAGCGGGGACTCACCGCAGCGCAGGCGCCGGTCGGCCACCGGGACGATGCTGCTCAGGTCCCAGTACTCGTCCCGCCAGGCCACGGTGGTGCCCGCGGCGCACGCCAGCAGCTCCCCCC